CAGGTAATCAAATTACATGGCATTTTCTCCATTCTAGGTTGTTGTGGCGTATATTTGCTGACATTGTAGGAGGCAGCCTTATCTATAGTAATAATGTTAATGAACAATGTGTTCTATACATGCGTGCGAACATAATAGTACTGTATTTAGATTGATAAATATATGTTTCTTCTCACGAACAGTATTTATTACCTCATCCGTTTGAAATCGTTTTAACTATCACTTGAGATGAGCTCACAGTAAAATCGCACTAGGTGTGTATCGTGTATGTGTGTTGTGTGTGGTGTGTTGTGTGTGTGTGTGTGGCGTGTGCGTGTGACGTGTGCGTGTGCCCGTGTGCGTGTGCGTGTGCGCGTGTGCGTGTGTGTGTGCATTTGTGTGTGTGTGTGTGTGTGTGTGTGTGTGTGTGTGTGTGCGCGTGCGTGCGTGCGGCGTGCGTGCGGTGGTGCGTGTGTTGTGTGCGGTGTGTGTGTTCTGTGTGGCGTGTGGTGTGTGTGTGTGTGTGTGTGTGTGTGTGTGTGCGTGTGCGTGCGTTTGTGTGTCTGTGTGTTTATGTGTGTGTGTGTGTGTGTGTGTGTGTGTGTGTGTGTGTGTGTCCCGCGTCTGTACGTTTCATTAATTGGTAAAAACAAAATTATACGCAACATTTAAAGGACAAACGAAATGCAAAATGACACTGTAACAGCCACAATGGTATTTACAAAGTCCGGCTATTTCTACTAGAAGGGAACCTTTTCTACACAAAAAATGCATTAACAAATAAAATTGCCGAGCAGTCTAGCAGAAACTGATTGACAGTTTTTTGTAACTAATTTGTTCGCTCGTCTAAATGCTAGCATAATATGTATCGCGCATTTTTTTTGCTGCGGCGTTTTCATTAGTCTGTGTTGTTTCACAGATCACCAGTACATCTGTATGACGTGCTGCACATTTATATTATCATGATTGATATATCCAAAATATATATTGCATCATTCAGCAACGACAATGTCATGTACACGCGCATGCGCAATATGACACGGGTGCCTGGTGCGTACAGATCAATGTGAGGTGATATTACAAATTTTGTGCAGACCACTATAGCTACGATTGTATATGCGTATAGCTAACCGTATCCACGGCAAGCTCAATCACAGATAACGCACTTGTGTTTAGAAAATATTTAAATCTAATCCGTATACACTTTAATAATTAACTATAATATCCGTTATATTCATAAAAACAGGGTAGAAAGAAAACCTCTGTCCACGCGTGAATATGTCCGTGATTTACACACCAGGGCATTAGATAACGTATGTACTGACATTGCATGGAATTTAGCAACTGTCTTGGTTTATTTGATATTTTACGAAATTACGGTGCTGATTCAAGCAAATTAAGCGATGGAACGTTTTTTGAAACAAAAAACTCTAAAATTAATAAAAAAGACAAAATCATACAGAAAGGATCTCTAGATTTACCCATTACTATAGTACTATCTCTAGTGCTACACAATGTCTGCTCTGATATGATATTAATTAACGGTATTCTGGTATTCAAGTGAATCTCTCCCGAATTCTATCCAGTCATTAAGTATTGTGTAAGTCATGTGTAAGTAATTGGTGTCGTTCCTCGGGTTTTCTACATCACGGCGACCAGAAGCGCGTGCGACCTTTGATGCGGGAGGTCGAGATAGTTCTACCGGTGTGTCTACCACGTTTCACTGGCCCACGTTTCACTGCTGTTGCGGTGAGAATGAGTGACCGCAAGGAACTATAAGAGATGATGAACAATTTTGTCTACTGTGAAAATGCACGTGCGCGCGCGTACGCATACATGAATATAAACATAATGATTTATGCTATTATAAATAATTATTTATAAATATAACGATTGATGCTATTCTTATTCACGGTATTATTTAACGAACTATAAGCATGAGCTGATATAGGGATATATCAAGTATACTAGCGTCGGGTAAGTATTGTGCTCATCAATTGAAATGTGAGAAAATATGCAAATTTACAAAGCAATGTCTTTGCGCTCATTATTATAATTAGCACGGAATATAAATGCCTATGCGCGCACTGTACGCCGTTCTCTGATCTTGGTAAAATAGATAAGAAGCCGTACATGAAATTTACAAAACTAATTGCCTCTATTTAGGTGATTACTATTGTAAACCTCGGTGAATCCGGTAGCAATTTAATCTGTACCACAGAACGATAACCATAGAAGAGGATTTTAATGGCGAATACGATCTAATTTGATTAAACAATTGTGTATCTGTATGTTTATTACGCGTGACATAGCTGTCAGTTTAGCTGCCTATTTTCTCAATTGCATGCAATACATTTAGTTTACCGTTTATGTGGTCATCACAACCGAAAAACCAAGCAAATGCATTCGTTTCCAAGGATATTGTTTACAAAACTATATCGTTAACAATGACACGAAATTTTAACGTTATATACGATAAGCGAAAACGCGCGTTTTAGTGCGGCATTGCTAACACAACGCAATGGAAATATATAGTATTTATTACGCTATTAATGTAATCAGTAATTTCAGATACAATCACAATATGTTCAATTACCATGGCTTGTGGCACCAATAATAAAAGTCATCAAGACAATTTGTGATAGCCCATCCACGAGTGATGGTCTGCCAGATCAATCACAAGCGATAGCAGCACTTTTTAATTTTCTAAATGGCACCAATAACGACGGGGGAATAGGGGACCAGCATTTTTTGCGATATTATTGAGACGATGCCATCATAAATTTTCAATGCAATCATGAATATTCCTTGATATTGACAAGTTTTTATATATATATTATAAGTTCAAATAATTTGGGTTTATTCACCCGCAGGTAGCCCCCATTGGAAGCGAGGATTTCATCGGCAGCTTGCTCTTCTATATCCAAACGCGGTTGGTTATCCATTTCCCGTATGTAGTAAAAGGAAACGACGCGCAGCGATTGATACAAAGTCGTTGATAATTACCAACACAAAATCCAATTAAAAACTCGCGGCAGTTCACACTCTTACTGAGACGTGAACGTTCTAAAGCCGCGACGATGACCGGTGTCGTTTCTCTCGCCTACGTATCAAAGTAGTGCGTATTATCACGTCACGAAGAATGTCACGAAGTAAAATTCGATTGCATGAGACCCGCCCGCAATTACTCATCTCCGCTGTACACGAAGGTTTTCTCCATAAAGAACAAACTGCACGCGGTGGATTTTAGTTGGCCGCATGCCAGATTTCAAACGGGCGTTTGCCGCGTCACGACTACAAATACAGGAACGCCATTTACATCATATTCCCGCGCCGAATTCGGTAACCCAATATAAAGTCTCAACGTCAGCTACGATTACACACGGTCGGCCGTATTGGTCTTATTGCACACATAGGAGCGAGCCGACCCCCTTCACGTATAGCATGCATTCTGCCGAACCTAGCTGGTAGGTAGGTATACGTGCAGATTCCAGTATGCTACTACGATCGCTGGGTTTACGAAGCGGAGCGCGCGCGTACGCGGGTGAGCCATCTGCCCCAACCAGCCCCTACACACTGTATTTGCTTTTTTATTGATTATTTGTATTCAGCGCAGGGAGCAAAGAGTTAAGGCAGCGTAACCAGTCCGTCCGCTCGGCTTTGTTGACCGACCGGTTTCGACTCCCGCCACAAATATTTCAAAAAGTTCATTCCAGAGGTCAGCCCAGGCGAAATTTCGGCGGCATGAGAATTCGGCGGTGGAGCGGTGCAAGGAGGAACTACAAAACAGGCCATGTGCGGGTTGCAGCGAGCCACCGCCGCGCTGCGCATGCGCTGTACGTAGTTCGCGTTGCACGCGCGGTATTTTTTCT